GAATTAATGAAATTGTGAAATTTCACGCTGCGATATGATATTTCAAATCTTTCTCGATTATCGCTGTTGATTAAAAAATGAATGCAGTTATTATGATGCAGGTACTGCCACGGACTGTAACGTGTTCAACGTTTTTTTTTTTTTTTTAACAGTAATATTTAACTTGATATGACTTTATCAGTTGAGTTGATTTTTACATTTTTATTTCCAGTGTCATCAATTGGAAAACGCGCGCAACAAGCGAGAGTTTAAAGGACGCTTTTATCATTTCGAAACGTTCGCGATAAATATGGAATTACAAAGTAATTTTATATATTCGCAATGTCGTTTGATCAACAACAGAGCTCGACTGATGCAACAATTTCATTGAGTGTTGTCCCCTCGTGACATTAAACAAACAGATCATTAAAGCAGAAAATCAGATAAAATTGTACGAATACACGAGCCTACACTGTCTGTAGAAGAGTTTTCATAGGAGCGTGTTTCCGCTCTTTATCGAGAATCGAGATCGAGAAAATGATTGAAACAAAACAAACTTGTCAGAATTATTAATACGAACGCATGAAGTAACTACGATTCCAAATATACTTCTGTCCGACGTGTTACGGCCAAAGAAATTGTAAATGCCTTTTGCTATAAAAAAAAAAAAAAGAGAGAAAAGAAAACATAAACGTGAACACGAACTAAACAAATTTAGAAGAATCGTGAAAAATGAAAAACCATATTTTCTAAATAACGTGGCATCTCGATCGAAATTTCGATCATTCCAAATCGATCATCATTATTTCTTAAAAATAAAATTCTTCCCAATACAAGGCGAAAATGCAAAAATCATGGAGTAACCGAAATATTATAATACGAAGTACGACTGAATAATTCATTATATGACTCACTTTCAAGCTGGGTTCCTTCTGCATACTGTTCATTGAATCCAACATAAGTATGAGAAAGAGAAAGAGATAAAAAACAGAGATAAAAATAGAAAGAGGAGAAGAGAGAGAGAGAGAGAGAGAGAGAGAGACATTCATACACGTACACGTACAAGTACACTGCCAGAACATTTTCACACAGTCACAGGTATAGATTCAGACCACAATCATAATCCCGGTCACAGTCACAGTCACAGTCACACTCGCATGATTATAGATAGACACACAATACACGAGCCACCTTGCTCACAGCAACTACAATCGCACTAATGAATCGTAGCCGTGATGTTGATCTACAAATTACTTGCAAAATCGAATTGTTTACTTGGTGAAACAAAGCGACAGAGAGCTAAAAATAACTAAAGCAACCGAGCCCATTCCACTCTCGAAAAACGATCGAACCGCTCCAGATTGGATCCATTCAATTCGAAGTAATTGAAGTCTTATGGAACGTTTATTCCCGTCTCAGCGGGCGCGAGGATTCTTTTTCGATCATAATCACACGGAGCAGAGTGTGTCATCGGCGGTGAAGCACGATAAAATCATCGCGGGGTAAATCTCATTTCCATTTTAAGATCCCTGATCCCGAACTTTTATAACGGCTCCCGGGGAAAATTATTTCACCATGGCGACTAAAAAAAAAAAAAGAGGAAGATTTATGGCGCCGAAAGTTAAGGCTTTTCGCCAAGTGAAAACGAGTTTATCTGCCGTCGATATTGACGCTGTTTCAAGCTTCCTCTGATTGCATTCCTGTTTGATGAACAGCTTCAAAGAACCGTGAACGTTTAGAAAATTATGACTTTTATGTGTGCACGTGTGTACGTGCCACAGGAGCAATATTATTTTTCCAGCGTGAATTTTGGAGATTTAATTTTGCTATTTTCGTGCATCAGATAGACCGAAAAGCAACTGCGTTTCTCTGTATACGAATGAAAGGCGAATTTTTCACGAGGAACAAAAGCTTCGTTAGACAAACGTTTTTATCTTTCTCGACGAAACATAAAGTTCCAAGAACGATATCCTCGTCAGTAGTGAAATTTAGGGAACCGATTCTGACATTGGCTAGTTCGAAGACCTCTTCACCATACACGTCAGATAATTCTTTTACGAGTTTGAACATCTTCTTTTTTCTTTGCTTTGCTCCTCGAAATATGACTAAAATGTTCCTTTTTGATTTGTCATTTTCGAAATCGACACCAAGCAAGCAATTGTTAACAAAATCATTCGTTTTCTTTTTCTAAAACAAGCTTGAACAATCAGCTATGAGGTTACGGAATGAATTTGCAATTTAAAATGAAATTAAGATATACATACATGTCCATCTATTAAAAAGAAACCCAATTCATATATTTTCTTAATTATTTCTGTAAAACAACGTTAACTGTTTCAACAATCTTTACAAAACAATATTACTATTAAAACGGACCAAATTCATACTTTTCTTTTGCCATTTAAATCGTTAAATGAATATATACAGTTCGAGATACGCGCAGTATAAAAAATCAAGTTCCCTATGAGACTGACTCGTACCGAACAAAAACAACGAAAATTGATTTGATTTTTCCGTAAGAGCGGACACGATCGCTACAAATCAAGAAATTTTAGCGCGACGAAATTACCCCCGATGTTTCTATTCTATCTGCCTGCGTGAAATTTACATCGTGCTCCGGAGGTAGGTCATGTTTGTGACAACGTTGGAAGCCTGTGGTGGGTTTGTTTGATGGACAGGAAACTGGAAACTTGTAAGACGGATCAACAAACAGCCTACTGTTTATCAGTTGCCCACGTCCTGTGTAAATGAAACTTTAATAAAAAAAAAAAAATAGAAACCTTAATACTGACACATAACATTTATCATCCCGTTGCAAATACAATTTTAATGGCCACGTATGTTCAATATTACTTTAGAATTCTGCAAATTAAATATTAGATGTGTATTTAGATTATTCGAAATTAAATGCACGAGTTAAATATTGGGTGTGTATTGAGATTATTCTAAATTAAACGAAACCTTAATACTGACACATAACATTTATCATTCCGTTGCAAATACAATTTTAATGGCCACGTATGTTCAATATTACTTTAGAATTCTGCAAATTAAATATTAGATGTGTATTTAAATTACTCGAAATTAAATGCACGAGTTAAATATTGGGTGTGTATTGAGATTATTCTAAATTAAACGAAACCTTAATACTGACACATAACATTTATCATTCCGTTGCAAATACAATTTTAATGGCCACGTATGTTCAATATTACTTTAGAATTCTGCAAATTAAATATTAGATGTGTATTTAAATTATTCGAAATTAAATGCACGAGTTAAATATTGGGTGTGTATTGAGATTATTCTAAATTAAACATCATGTTAGTTAAATATTAGACATGTATTTAGATCATTCTACGTCTATTTATATAAATGTATGGCATAATAAATGAAGTAGCGATTCTAGTACTAGAGTAACGACCCTCGGAATTTAACGTGTAACGTTATTATACATACTAAAGTTCTTCCGTAAGAGAAGTATACCGGCGTGGGATAGCAACGAGTTGATAATCTACTCTCAGTGATATAACCGAGATTGCAGTATTCCTTGAATTCTGATGTTTTGCCGCCACGAGTTCGCAATTGCGGGCAATCTACTATTCGACAACTATCGCAATCGAATTGCACAGTTGAAGACACGATTTACGTACTTGCAGAGATACTTAATTCACGTTGAACTCGTATCGTTTTTCCCAATACGATTGAAAGACACGAAATTCGACGATGATACCAATTTCCCGCGAGTCACACGTAACAAGTTCGCGCGTGCGATTAACTAGAATTACCGCATAGCGACTCGGTGTTTCACAACGTAATGAATAATTTATAAACTAATGCCGAATAATCCTTTAATCAGGTACGCATAAATGAGCGAAACGTAATGCGATTGAAAGTGAGTGTTGGAGCTAGCATATCAGCCTCGTCAAACAGAATTGAAAATACAACAGCTTAATCAGCCTCCAAATAATTAGATGACAAAGGGGGGAGGGGGTAATTATTCATGCGAGTGATCAGCTTAACGAGAATTAACAGATCGCTCTTTGAAAAATATCACGAAAAATTATATGAGCGTACGAGCGAAACATTAAAATATTTCGTTGTCGAGAAGTTTCGGAAGAGGAGATTGATTCGCCGTGGGAAATGAGCCAAGAGGTTCTTTCTGAATTAATTTTCGTTCCTAAATTATCCCTGCGCAGTTAATACGTGGCCACCGAGCATCGCCGCGACGTTTCAAACTTTACGATACACTTTCGTGCCTCGTCAAGAGTGCCAAGGGTGAATGTGGTAGATACGTCGCTGAAAATAGAAATTAGCAAGCTACGGGAAACTTTGGGAAAAGTTTCACAATCTCCAAACGGAGCCCTCTCGTCGACATTAAAATATCTGTCGTGTTACCACGGACAATGTGCTGCTCTGTGAATTGTTATCTTCAGCTTGTGCAATACAACAATTTTTCTTGCCCCTCTTTTGTCTAGAAACTTCCATATTTTTCAAATATGAAACGAGGAACAGCGAGAACGGTACGTTGAAAAAATAAAACCGCTCCCTTTTCAGCTTGAAAAATGAAAGAAGCTTTATCTTTTTTTTTTTTTTTTTTCTATGATTTTAAACAATAACGTCGAAACAAATTCACTCTACTACAGTATGATAAAAAGTTTTATTTAAATTTGTTTCCAACTTTTATGAAATCCCTTATAAATTAAATCGAACCGCAATCACGCTCGAATATACAATTGCGAAGAAATGATAGAAGAAGAAAATTGAAGATGAAGTGGTTCGATGGGACGGTAGAAACTTCAAGGATACATTAAAAAATCAATTTCCCTGTAAATCTGATCCTGCTCGTCGTGTAGTCTCGCTCGCGTAATGTTTCAATTGAATTATATCTCGGATTTATGTCGAACAACGTGCACATTGGTGCCGACTGAGCCGTAATAAAACTAAATTTGAAATTGTTATCATAATGATATTGATTATTAATGATATTAATTTATGCAGATTGATCGATTTATTTCTAGAGACAAAATTGAACGCGAAGGCACGGTGGCGCTAGTTAAACGAGAATGCGAGAATATTTTGAAGACGACCCGAGAAACTGCAAAGAGACGAATTCACGAAATAGTAGAGCTTTACGACGAGGCTAAGGAAAAGGTATTTAAAAAACGAAAATTCATTGAAACTCTCTTTTGCGATCGCTGTGCAGCTTTGAAAAGTAAAACGAACAGACACGTTTGCAAGCAAAGAGAGACGTTCACCTCGACTCGTAAACTAATTCTTGAAACTCGACAACAATATTCTACTACGTTACAGTTTTATTTCCTCGGGCGAGAAAAGATATTCGAATTTTCCTTGACAGTCTGTATAGAAGTTCGGAAAGTTTCGGATGCAATAGCGATGCAACATGCACCGTAAACCGACATCAAAGTGCTTTTTTAATTGATATGCATTCAGTTCGGCGTTGTAGCCAACCTTTTTACAGGCAGTGCATCGTAAAATGTGTGCCCTTTGAAACGTCGCCTTTTTGATACGGGAAATCGAAGTTGTCGCCTTTTCGTGGCCTCTTGAATATGCAGTGTCCGAGCGGACTTCGAGTTTCAAATGAGTCGTATATACGCTTCTAAACTTCTAAATTGGAATTCTCATCTTAACATCCTAATTTTACCGTCACACGTTGAATGCTTCTGCCATTTAATTCCAAAAACACAAATATTTACACATTTTGTTTTATTTTATTTCATTTTATTTTATTTTTTTTTTCCACCTTCTTTCTTCGCAAAAGAAAAATTATTTCCAAAAGAAATCTGATTTTCGAAGTCAGTTATTTCAACGTGATAAAATTTCAATTGTCCTCAAGTCTATTTATGCGCAGTACAACCAACGTTATTGCAATAAGTTGCTTTCAGTCTATTGGGCAAATTGTTCAAACGGCCTTAAAGAGAATCTCCCTACGGGGAAGAGAATTTCGTTGGCAAGAATTTCGGGGAGAATTTCAGAGAGTATTTTCTTTGCCGTCGAAAGCATGTCAGCTTGGGAACCTTCGTAATTTCTGTAGGGAGCAACGTCAAATACAATAAGCTTTATCACTGACACAGATAGAAGGACGGAAGAAAGGGAGAAAATTACACTTAACCATCTGTACTAATCAACACGTTTCTTAATAAAACTTCGTCGACTAGTATGTACAAACAACTGAGTCAATTTTTCAGCAATCTCCAGGCAACGAATATCACTTTTTCGATTAAAAGACTTCGGTATTTCTTATTCTTGCAAGTTGCACTAGCTTCTAAAATTTTTATTCGATTCATGGTAAAGTTTTAATTAACCGTGTCTAAGCAGCTTACGGAATAAGGTCAAATTCGTAGAAAAATAGTTTCATAGCAACTGTAATTATTTGTAGTATTATTTGTAGTTCTATCATATTTGACTCGATATTTTGAACAATCTATAATTTGTTCAAAAAAATTCTATTTTCTAAGATTTTCCTAAGCGCGTGGCGTATTGATTTTTCTGTGTTAACTTACACGACGTTCGCTTATGCTTGCATTAATTTTCCAGGGCACAACGAACTTGCGTAAAACAAGCCTGACACGAAAAGGTTTACGACCGCGAGCATTAAGCTCTCTCCCCTCTCTAAAAGTGAATCGATAACGCGTTAATAAATTCTAGAAACTAAAAGGTCTTGCTACCAGAGCTGCTAAATCGTTAATTAAAGGTTACGCAAGTTATTTCTCATTCTTTAATTTCCACGCGAAATTTAATTACAAGGAACACACGGAATGCTTGCCGATTGAAAATATTTATTTTCAGAATGTCATCAATCGCGAAACAAAATCGTTTATAATACAAAATTTTTAATTGCTCTATCGACGAATTCACAACGTACGAATGTACCTTTAATAGGAATCACGTTGTCGGAATTTTTGCACAGTTCGATTACCAAAATATTTCATTTTCGAACGACAATTTCTCTGTGGAATTCGTTGGCAGTTAAATATGACTTTCCGAATTGTATCACGGCAAAGCAAAACGAAAGATCGTGAAAAATGATGAAAGCTGGCGTTTCAATCTGAGGATTTCTGGATGCCAATTATTATTTACGAGTACTATTTAAAAAGTAGGACCTACACAGATACTTTTTTAAGTATCATGATAGATATTTCAAATACTTTACATGCTCAACGTTTTCTTCGCAATTTATTCGCGCAGTTCTTTTTCGCTGCAAAGTTGTCAAGCCACGTCAAGTCACCTATCAACAAAGGGAGCAATTAAAATGAAATAATTGTAACTGAACAATGGAAACGTTAAAATCGATATCCGCTCGTACGGTGGCAATCTATCTCGAGAGATTGAATTTTCTTTTAATAGGTGACCCGATTAGAGGAACGTGTAGAAACGTACGAAGCTTTCGAACGTGAATACGAAAACCGTGGTTTCGAGCTGGCGAATTTACTTGAAACTTTAAAACGTTTCGACGTGGATGTCGGCTCTGTCTGTCAACTCGCGGCGGAGGGTAAGTATTATCCGGCACTTTCAGATTCCATCGCATAAGTCGAATGTATCCCTGTGCAGCTTTAAAGAACTTGACCGAACGGGGGAACTTATTCGAAGAAAGCATGAAGAATCTCAGGCATCTCGCCTGGACCGTAAAAGACAGAAAGGACGAACCGCAACTGGTTTCATTAAGGGAGCAGAATTCCGTTTTGAGAGAGATAGTGAAGAATCTTAAAAAAAAGGTAGGTACCCTCGGCCATTTCACGGAAAATTGCAATATTTTAGTTAATTCTCTTTAGTTACAGAATTCTGCATTCTGATATAGTCACTGTAATTAAAGTAATTAAAGTAAAAAGAAAAAGAGAGAAAAAGAAAGAAAAATTAGGAGAAAAATATGACATTTACAGTTTTTAAATTTGAGACTTATTTTTTGTTTGACTAAAAAATAGTGTTTTAACATGGCTGCGAATGAGAACAACCTGCGAGTTAAAAATTCTGTAAAAATCCTGTATACCGTAAAGCTACAACTATCAAGACAAACAATATTTTTATTTTGTCTTTTATATTGTAATCAATACATACTTAACTGCAAAAAAAAAATTTAACAAGAATTTATTGACAATACGTCAAATTTTAAAATACAAAATTTAATTTATCGTATTCTTCTCCTATAACCTTTAAAAGCTAAAAGCTTTGAGCAATTAACTTTCTTTGTAATGGGAATATTGATCAATGCAAAAAAAAATTGCTTATTTTTCGTATACGCAATATCTCCCTCTACTACTACATCCTGGGATAAAAAGATAGCATACTCTATATTATCTTATGTTACGTTATCGTAAAGTAGAGAGAATGCGTAGATTATCACACCAGTGTCTTTGAGCATCGATGTACGTGTAGTATGTTGAATGCTGTACCAAGACACGCGACTTCTCAGAAATACAAAAACGAAAATGTAAATATTACCCGTAGCCGCGAGGCAGACAAGTTTGAACAAATAGAATATTTATGTAGCTCAGTCGTGCAGAAGCTATCGAATGCGTAACATTCATGCAAAATACAGCCAGTTAAGTGCGCGTTAACATATGTAAAAATGAATTGCGTGAGAAATTCCAGCTAAAATACATACGACATTGAAATTAAACGAAGAACATTGTTCCGCGACAAAAATAGCCAGAACAGTTAACAGAAGTCACAAAGTGATAGAGAATGAAAAAACTAAAGATCCTGATAATTACGAAGAAAGAGAAAGTTGTGGACGACCGCAGCTAACAACTCGGAATAAACGTGCTATGATACGTATAGCATTAAATTCATACAATGATTTGAAGAGTATTGGTTACTGTGGTAAGTTAGAAATGAAATTTATTACAGGAAAATTCAATAGTAAGAATTATATTATATCTCGAAACGATTGACGAACAAATTAGTGTATATCCGATACAAATTTCCGGAAATGAGTACATTTTTCAACATTGCAACGTCCGAAAGCAGTAAAACAACACTTTGCAAACAAAAAAATTCGTTTTAGAATAGCTAGCCAAGTCTCCGGACTTTGTAAATATTGTAAAATATTGTTGGGGGAACTTGCACAGAATTCACAAATATCAATGAATTTGGAAAGTGTATTATAGAAGAAGGAGAAGAACCAAGCCAAAACAACCATTATAACAATCATTATAAAATTATATAAGTCTTTGCCTCAAAGAATGCCATTATTAAATTCAAAGATCATACTAAGTATTAAGCAATTATCAAACTCTTTCTTTTTCTTGTTTCTATCCATTGTTTTTTACAATATGTATTAAATACTATTACTATGGTTCTATTTCTTTTTTTTTTAACACAAAATATATTGCAAAAAGTTTAGTTTATGTAGTGGGCTTATACGTGTTGATAAAAGCACTACGAAGAATGAACATAAGAAAGATTTTGCATCATTTGTTTAATAAGAAGAAATTTAATAATTTTTAGAGTATGCTATTCTTTGTCCCAGAGTGTATCTCTAGAAATCTTTAGAAGTTTCTAGTATAGTCATAGTACGCTAAAAAAAGTTACTTTTCTTCTTCCCTTTTGTCAATAGACAAACGGTAAATCTCATCCATTCGTTTCGATGCACAATGTAAAATATTTTACTCGATAAACATCACGATAGGACAAATTCAATTCCATGTTCCATAAAAGTTCAATTTAGAATTACACAAAGGACCTGTTACACGATTGTGCGCGTATGATTTGTTCAAAATTTTATCAAACAGTATTTCTACGCGTACTTTTTCTCTCCTAAAAACAATGCCGCAGTTTTACTTTTGTCAGGCTAATTCCATTATTTTATGCTTTAATACACTTTACCGTATGCATCAAGACAAATGTCATTAATGCAGAAAGCAAATGTTTATTTTACAATAACATTACAAACATGTACAGACGGCTTAAAATATATTCAGGATAATTCACCAAGGCAGAACGTTTAATTAGACTACTTATAATTATGGTTGGAAAAATGTGTGTCGAGATAAAAGTTAAAATCCAGCGGTATTGCTTCCTCTCTCTTTCTCTCTCTCTCTCTCTTTTAATAATTAAAATTAGTAAAATTAATAATACACCAAAACATGCGTATTATAATACAAAACTACTTTGAGAATGAACATGCAGACCGAAAAGTAACGAAAAATACGAATGAAAAGTAATAACAAACGAAATATAAAATTCCATATGTCACAAATGCAATAAAAATACGAGCTGTAAAATAATAGTATCGAGAAATTATGCCCATTCCTTTTCAGATGAAATCCCTTCTGATCGTAAATTTTACGTCACCCTATGTGTAATATGCATCATCATAAATAGGCAACTCGGAAAAATATAATAACGAAACACACACGAGAACTGACGAATTCCGGACAGAGTTCGATAAAATTGATAAACAAGTGTCAGATTCATTTACCTTTCTCTGTATCGTAGAATCTCTCACACAGGATTTCAGAATTCTTCGTAATTTCGTTGGTATATGGCGACACGCTGTCGTGACTCGTTCGAACAAGAAACTCGTAACCACCATTTAACTCGTTCTCACTTATGTTTTGTACACGTTTTAGCGTTATACGTTTACGATATTTCCGTGAAAATTCGTTGCAAAGTTTCAGATGCTCGGCCAAACGCACGACGAAATCCCGGTAAAAGAAGCTACGAAACAACACGAACGTATGCTCCTCGAAAATGAGATAAATCCTCGAAATATTAATGGACACTTGTCGGACGAGCGATTGTCGGACGTAAATGCAACGGAAAATCCTATAAACCCGTCAATTCGCGAGAATAATAACGATTACGACGCGAAGAAACGCAACGGACGCGGTGCAATTGAAACGCGTACAATGACCGTTGGGTACAAGAGCGAGAATCGAAGCGAGCAGTTCGATATCGAACGTACGATAATCGATAAATGCGGGAAACTGTTGTGCATTGAGACCCATTCAAACGGCGTGGTATACGAAGAGTACGTGTTCAAATTATCGACCGAGCGAGAAATAAAAATCAAATATCCGATTTTATTGAATAACGACGAGGCGGTTGTTAGGTTGGAGTTCGTGGATAACGAAAACGATTACGAAGTGGCGCCGATGGACAGAATGTTGATATTATTCAAAAACGTGTGCGTGAATGTGAACGTCAAGCAAACCGGTGTACCGTGCAGCACGCAAACTACAAAGATAAAAACCTCCAACATCTTTACGCAAACGACGGTTACTGGAGTAAACTCGTTTTCTCGTTTAAACATGGGCGCCACGGTGAGTGAAATGAATTTCCACTTTTCTCACTTTGAAATTGCACATTTGAAAATTTGGTTATTTTACTAAGAAAGAAGGTTACATCGTTTCTTAGAAAGAATTGTTAAAAAAATTTTCTAAATTTATAATTACATATGTAAAAGAAATTCTTACATGTAGTCTTTATAAATCGCATCTTGATAATATTATAACTAACTTTAGTATAAATACAATTAACACGTGGAAAGAGTATTGACTCGTTAAGAGTATTGACAACGAAAACTAAAGCGTTGCATCGTTTATATATACTTATTTGCTGTATTTCGTACAATACAATTGAAAAAAACGTAACATAGATCTCGTTAGAACGATACAAAATGTCAACTTTAGATTCTTCAATTAAATCTAGATGCTTAATAGCGAGAAACGTGCGATAGAGAGAAGTCTCGGTAATTTGGAACGAATCGTTAAGACCTTAAAACTGAACACGTTAAATGAAGTTGAAACGATGATTGGTAAGGATTCGCATTTGCTTGGAAATAACGAGATGTTAAACTATATCAAGGCATTGACTCAATAGCATTATGCGAAGCAACTCCTATTTTTTTCTTTCAAGTGCACGTATCCCTAACGTTACAGCGATTTTTGTATAACATGTATAACAGTATCGAACTAGATTCATCATAATTGTAATAATACTTTTCCTATTCAATTGTACATAAAAAAATACCACTACAAGTAATTGGTAAAGATGTCCACGAGTTTAGAAAAACATTAATTGTTATTGTTGCTTATCGTTAAAAATGTTACGAGATGATTCTTACATAATATCTATACACGCATAGATACATTACATACATACATATTTTCATAGTAAATGTACATAATTGCATAGATTTAATTGTATTTAAAATCGTAATAATTATCACATTATTTTGAGTAAGAATTAAATATTCACTTCGTCGTTTCGTCAGAAATAGCGGTGCATTCTACGTTCTCACATGTGATTTTTCTTTAGAGAATCTCAAAACTTTTATCCTTTTGCATTTTTGTTTTTTGTTTTTCTTCTTTACATTAAAGTGCGACTTCATTACATGTGTGTAAATGGAAAAATTTATTAAAAATGTGAAATGCAATTCGTGGAAAAATACATATATGCATAAACCTTAAAAGGTAATTCAAGTTTTTCTTCGCACATACTTCCTTCGATTGAAATATATAGAATTTATATATAATTTATGTGCTCTCGATTCAGCATTCCATATCCAAGTTTTTAATTACAAAGGGATTAAAAGATAAATTACTCTAAGTTTCTCATTAAGTAACAATGAAAATTTGATTTATAATACAAACTATCTCTTACAATTATGTTTGCCAGTGTGACAAATAAAATAAATAGTTTTAGCATGCACTATATTTCTTAATTATTCATCGCGTTGAATCTTAGAAAGACATTGTTAGAAACAGCTTAGAACAATTTTTTTTATGTAAAATACTTTTAAAAACACGATGAGTAAAAAGGTCCAGGAAAAGGCGATATTATGTTAAAATACGATAAAAGATTAGAGGAATGTCATTTTCATACTAATATGTATGTTTCCATAACCCTGCTCTTTCCCTTTCTCTTTCTTTCATCTTTATCTTTGATTATTTGCTAATATACTATCTTTGTTATCAAAAGATTCAAAATTGATTGCTAAATACTTAGTATATACCTATACTATTCTTCTTTCATCGCTTATTTTTGAATACACGATAAATTATTTCTAGAAATGGAAAAGTTTCCTCCGGCAGCACTGAATTTATCCTTTCTGTTTCTTATGTCTATTTGAGAATGTTCGATTATAATCAATGTGTTGAGCCTGGCACTAGGAACTTGCATTCCTGGTAATACTTTGGACAACACGCTGTCCCCACCAAGCTTCAAGATTAAATGGCTCAAAATCTATGATGACAAAAAAAATATCAGCTTAAAAAGTATCAATTTCAATTAATATACAAAATAAGACTACACTTACCTTTGAGTTGAGGATTTGGTTCTCGTTCTTGATAATATGTGACAGACGCTCCATTTCTATAATTGGAAGAATTACTGTGAGGTTGATTGTGACACATATCTAATTCTCTAGATACTGTATTCCACGCTGTAAACAGAAGTAGGAAAAACTTGATAATGAATACAATTTGATATATAAATATCAAAGAAAAATAGCACGATACATACAGTCATAAATATATTTAATTAAGTCAAAATGTTGAGCTACTGTTTCAGACTGATGTCTGGATGGAATCGAAGATGGTCTTTTCCCATTCACTGCTGTCATTTGGGATCTACCACTATAAAAAATATTTCACAAAATTAAAACAATATTGTATGTCTAAAACATACACATAATTAACATAGAAACTGCAGTCGAGCAACGACTGCTATTGAAATAGCACATAATTATTAGTAGATATAATATATTTTAAAATTTCACTATTTTATAGGAATTAAAATAAATGTAACTATGAAAATGTAAAGCAATATCATGAAACTGACAAAATTTAATGAAATGAATTGAAGCATGGATGAAAAATACTCAAACGTAAAAATCAACAAGCAGTTATTTATTAGAATTTATTGACATCTATTATAATAATGTCTAGACTATAGCATATTGCTTTGTACAGTGAAAGGAAATGGACACCATCTTATAACATAACTCAAAATATAACCTTTCATTTCGCATAACAATATTTTATTTAATATTTATCGTACCACAATAAAAAGATTTGCACATATTCTAAAGAATTTCACAAACGGAAGAATATATTTGATCAAAATAATTGATGTCAGTCTATAAGTAAGCCACGTATACATATATTTAAAACTCGTTTCTAATCTTATCAACATGATTTTTCCTCAAAGATTCTGATACAGCAAGACACGAAACGTAGGAAAACTGAAATTTATAAGCAATCGGTGGAATGTTTGACATGTCAGTAAAAATACGCCATAATTAGTAATAGGAAGCCTTTAGAAGAGAAAACGGCGGAAAATGGCGGTTCTCGTATGACAGTTCCTGCTGTCTTTCGATTCCCGCCTATTTCTCCTTCTGTCTATTTGACACTACTTCCTTTCGCAAATCCCACAGCGACAGAACAGTTGACAATTTGCCAGAAATAAATGTTAAATGATTCAAATCGTGGGAAACGTTATCATACACGATGAAGATTAATTAAACGAAATTTAGAGACGCGGGAATAGAGAAAGGCATTTTGCGATAAATACCTCATTTTCTTTGTTCTGCGATGAATCTTTATACCAGCGGAAATACGTGCACAATTCTGTATGAATCTGCAATCACTATCTACGAACGAAAGTATAAATGTTTCATACAAGTTAACAGTTGAAAAGCTGAAACAAGACTGAGCGTTTGTTTCTCGCAACTCACAACAGCTGCAGGAAGCTTTCCTTGAAAACTGTCAACAATGGTGGGTTGGGACTAGAGACTCGAACGGTAAAATAGAGGGGGAAGTGGCGACAATCCAGCAGGTATAAAAGATAACTGTTTTGTTGAAAAATTTAGCCGCCAGATGGAGGATTCGTCGCGTTCCTTCTACGCCATTTTTCGAATTGCGAAACGATGGTAGAACAGTTTGTGTTTATACGTGATTTAAAAATTAATCTAGTAGCTTTTCTTTCTAGTAGTTAAAAGAATGTGACCACTCTAAGAAATTTAATCAAATTTTTCAACCAATAAAATCTTTCTAGTAAGTCACGACTGTATTTAGTTTTCATTTATCTAATCTTGTGATAGTAGAACAATAATTGTATGTAGTAAAACAATGTCTAGAGATCATAAACGAGATAGACTTATATATCTCCTCTTTTTAGATTTAGAGTGCTAAACTTAGAAATTACTTTTTGAATTAATTAAGATATAAATTCATGCTAATCGAAGCTCAAATGCGATTAATTGTTTGTAAAACACATGATTGAACATATGATATGCTTGTTTCCTGTCTTAAATCCACAAACTATTAAATTATGCACATTCTGAGTGCATTTAAAAGCGATATGATTAATCAAAGTAATTGTCGATGTTTTATTGGTTTTCATTCAACGCGATCTCTTTCAAACTTTATTATTAGTAAGATCTTTAATTTCTTTAAAAATTGATATTTAATAATTGAAGTTCTGATACAGATCTATATTGTATATCATTTACCATGAATGACCATCTATTACACATAGAAAGTTCACTATTTAGTAAAGATTTCAATGAAATACAAGTTTAAATAGGAAATAAAAAGGAAACATAAGTACATATCCGTGTATGCTGTAAAACTCTTCTAAAATTGTACGTTTGCAGGAAAACACGCTTTCATGTTTCATTTATTGCAAAGATGCACTTCAAGATAGACGATAGTAAGAATTGGTTGTTACAACTCACGCTCACAAGTTCGTAGTCACGAAAATGTCGATTTCACGATAAAAATGTAATAATATGTTTCTTTGAAACTATCGAATTTAAATTTTCGAAAAATTTGCATTTGAAGCAACGCAACTTGGTATGAAATGCACGTCACATGTGTACCAAGTTGTACTACTGTGCGTGTAAGCACAGTATCTAGAGAATGATCTATAGAAAGTTGGAAAATTATATTCTTTAGAAAATTAGTCTTAAAAAGTAGAATGTGTTCATTAAATGCTAATGTAAAATTGCAATCGACTGAAACTTTTGTAAAAAACGTTAGTGATTAAATTACAAATTGAAACGTCTTGAAAACAAATTGAAAAGAGATAATAATTTTATTACGAACCACAAATGTTAAAATGAAAATTAAAGTATTAGTTTATAAGAAAGTTTTTAGTCACGTCAATATCTTTGTTAAACTTTCTTGTCCTTAAATCTTCGACACAAAGGACACAAAGGACAGCTATTTCAGTTTTTAAGTGAATTTTTAATCAAATATTAATTAAAACTTTCTGAAATTTGTCCAAAGAAACATGTTCCGAGTTATTCAACTAAAGAAAATTTAATTCTTCCATAATTGTTCCATTATTGTATTGGCGTGACAATATTGGTAAAATGGCCGTTTATAACACGATTGTAAGAAAGACTATTTTGGAAATTTTTTAAAATTCTTAAAAGAGCATGTTGTTTAACCTTTAAGAGATACGTTACATGGAAGGGTGATAGGGATATTTAAAACAACATTATTTGATACAAATCACGTAGCCATGTATTAGCATTATTTATATTAAGAAATTATTTTTATATATTTAATTAATAGGGGATTGAAAAAGAAACATTACGACTCAAATGGCAATCAAGTTCGAATTTCGTCATTTTGGGAGTTTATTTTAAACGAGTGGCACCTAAAACATTTTAGGCATTTATCTAAAACACTCGTGACGCCATTATCTCGGACATTATTCGTTAAAATATACGATAGCGTGTCGGGTTATATTTGACAATACTATAACGTGGCCTCGATATATCCACATATCGCTGGCACCATCGCCACGACTTCAGTTGGCTGCGTTTCACTTTCAGTTAACCAAAGGCCTACTAGTCTATTTCTGCAATCCTGACGTTCAATACCATTTCAAAGGATCCTTGTCACCCTTTGTGATTACATCATAGGAGATAGCAAAACTATGCGCTACTCGTTTTAAATGACACTTCGCGAGATGTATCAAATTAATATAAGGATAGCGTTAACGCCTAATTAATATTTACTTTTTAATTAATATTTACCTAATTAATATTTATTATGCAAGTTTCACGTTCAAATAATGATTAAAGAGGCACATGCGAAAGTGAAAATGTAAATTATATGAGGGCCGAATCCAACGTGCCGCGACAGTCAGTGAAATAGTCAGTCAGTAAGTAGTATAAAACACCTAGCAAGACATCAAAAATACGATGACAAGGAGAGGAAAAGTATTGTTATACAACGAAGGAAATATAATTCGTTTGATATATTTTTATATCTAGTATGGACAAACATATAAATATTGTATCAATTTTTTCTTAAAATTCTTCATTGCTTCCATTTGTACAATTTTTATGATTTTAAATTTATTTCCATAGTGATCAATCGTTGATATATGTTGATTATTTGAATCTAATGCTATCAGTCATTTTCTCGAATGTATCTATTTCACAAAAGATTTGTCTAAAGCAAAAGTTTTCTACTTTGTAACTGGAAATCCATCGCTCTCGAAGGATTTTACCTGAAGGTAATAAGTAGAAGTGTCTCTTTATCAAAGCTATCCAATTTGTCTCACGTTGACACAAGCAATATGGAAGCCTGCCAATTAATCGACGCGCTGTTGCGAACTAATTACCTACGGTGAGAAGAAAAACTAGATTTTACAATCGTATCATGGCCTTGAACAAGTCAAATTCTGACACATTTGATACTTTAACAACTCAATATTCAAAACGCCGCTCTTACTATACGACGAGATACGAAGTATTTTTGACAAAACATCGACTACGTCTTATGTAAAATCATCGTCTACTCCATAGTCAAGTGAAACGAAATTTTCAAAATTTTATTCTATACTTGTACTTGTACGTTCAAGTTTAATTATATTTGTCTAATTCGCATCTTTAGCCAAAATTTCGAAAAATCGAAATGTGCTAAAATATCTTGTCTTTGAATCTATTTGAGAAAGTTCAATCGGAATACAGAAATACTTGTACATGAATCGATTTCGAAATAATGTTGATTGCAATAACTCGGCAGTATAGTCATTTTTGCCAGTGGACCGAAAGTTTCATTCAATGGTTGCCGCAATACTAAATCTTCTCCGTTTCCCGCGTGGGAGGTTGAAACGTTCATCGGAATGGTAAATCGATGTTCTTCTGGCGAACGATAGTGGCCGAGAGGCGCATAGTCCAAACTGACCAGAATACGAATAGCAAGAAAAGCCACATCAACGGTGGACCTTCATGATCCTCGAAGACAATGATCCGAACAGGCTCAAGTGGCACTGGCTCGAATGTTATTGTGCAATACTACAAGAGGCAGTTGACCTAAATGGGCCATAACTGGCGCGGGCGTGCGGGCGCTCGCATATGTGTGTCAGTACATACACTCATTTCCGGATATTTGAAAATCGATTACATCAATAAACTACAAAGTATTATATATCGGTTGTACAACGTCAGTGAAACGAAATGAAATTCCGATACAGTGAATTATATCGTTGGAGAATATATGAGATTATCGTCACATAGGAGCGATGATTGAAATATTACGACATTCTCGTTCAATATCCCAAAAATTTGTTATTTCAAAATGATCTAATGAAACTTTTAATATAGCAGCTTGACGCGCGTGCCGATATCTCATTGTCGTGTTATCGATACGGTGTTAGATTTTTCTTCTATTAAAAATAAAAATGATAAATCGTGCAGGTTTTCTTCTCTGATATTTGCTGAATTTGGAACGTGTATCTAAAATAGACAGCTGTATAAAAGTAGACAGTTTGTTTTAGTCGAAAGATTGTTGCATCAATTACTTTTAAGTTTGTACAATACATTATTACATTGGTACTTAATGAACATAACGATATAGGTACAAGAAGAAATTTGATTATAGTTGGAACGTGCATTCGTTCGTTTGATATCATAAACACAGAAGACTGTACGATTCGCGCCAAGATTCGGGCTTGTTAAGATAGATTAATAGGATGATTTACTGTCTTATTACAAGAGTAAGTCAGAAATTCTATTAGTTCAACACAATTTTGTCTCTCGGCAGTAACTTGGTGATATGGCCAGATTGTTAGAAATGATGGAAGCGGTACTACATCGTCGAATTGAGCACAATTACGCGAACAAATAACTACGTATTAATTTTCGCGCGTAAGAAAGACAGAGGCCGCTGTCTGTAACTTTTATGCCCGTTCTAAATTTTAATGAACTAGACACACTTCTTCTTTTTTTTTTTAATAATCAAGCGTAGTGTCCAATCCATCTAACGCAACGAAGATTGATTATTAATTTCGTATAATCATTGTGTGCGTTTGTCCCTTGATAATAGCAGCGTACCTGGAGTGATTATAGCACACTTATGAAGCTAATGCACTTCATAAACTACGGATATAATCGTGTTTCATATAATTCGCCGCGTTAAAAAGATTAACGTGTATAATTAATTTTTAAGCACGACATCGGCTCGCTCCATTACATCATGTAGACGGTCCGTTACATAGGATAA